TGACAGTTTAATATGACATTCTCAGAAGTTGTGACTCAGTCATTAAATAGACATTCTTATAGAAGGAAACACTGTATAGTATTGTAAAGTTCTGATGACCTATTGAGGAAATACTTAAATTATCATTTCGATGAACAACCCGAGCAATCCCTACATAGGCAGTGCTACCTCCTGCCTGATTAACTAAATATACTTAAATAATGATATATGTCCTGCTGTAATTGGGAAAGGCGAACTTCAATACTATGTCGGCCATTGTATATCTAATGTACTTCGTAAATCAGTTGGTCGGGCGTAGGCTAGTGATTATCTTATTCGGACGGTGTAACAGACGGTTCATGGTTCGTTGCCCGTTACAAGAAAATCGCCGTCCGTACGGATGTTGAATAGGTCATATTGAAACGATTTTTCAGTCTCACTACATCGTTACAGTCCATGTCAGTTTCCACTACAAAAGGCTCTGCCCTAAGACTGTCATGTCAAAAGAACACCACTGTTCCCTATTGATTATCCATAAGCAATATAGTGTACGAGAACAAGAATTTCTCAGTGCTGTTTCAACAGTTCGAAAGCACAGAAATCCTTAGGCGCTGCTTCTTGTGTCTTGACTGACATGTCTTTGTATCAAATAGAATGAATACCCGTTTCTTAACCAGCTAATTGAGATAGACGACAATAGAACGAATATATTATGATACATGTGAATTGAGTCGCTTTTTCAGACAAAGGTTTTTTATTATGTTAGATTCTGTTGCCTGGAGCACGTGAACGGCTTTTGCTGCTGAACTTTGTGTTATTTGCCTTTCTTATCAAGGCTGTAGTGTTGCAGGTCTCTTTTTTGATTATCCTAGTGCCCCAGATTGATCCATATTCCTTTATTTTCCAATTCCATCAAGTACAAGGGATATCCCCGTCTTTGAAATTCTGAACACATCGCTATGATCTAACTGTATGAATAGTTTGCGACGTTAGGAGTTGTTACATTCCTTTCCCAAAAGCGATCAAATTTTGGAGGTACCATACTGCTTACAAAATGTCAATCAATGTCAAAATGTTTTTATGATGTATTCCAATATATTGCAATTTTATATCAGTTGTTATTTGCTTATGTCTTTTTAATGTAACGAACTCAACATAAGAATTACGTTTTTGATCATACGAAAACAGTATGAGTTGATGGTAGTTACTGGTAACTAGCTGCTTTCCCCTTCGTCTATCAGTTCAACATTAAGAACGATTATGTGCAGATGACCCTTGATGAGATTTGTGCAAAATTAATAAACAAAAAAAATGAATTTTAATTTTTGTTGGTCATTCTATTTATCCAATGTTTTCGAGCTTACGTTATAAATTTTGTTTTGTCCTCCAATGAGCCCTAAAGGGGTTTGGTATGCGCCAATTGCAGTTGTATTATGTTGTGCTTTCTGAAGACTGTTCTGAGTTTATACTATTTGGCTGCTTTTAGAGGTGCTTGAGATATTCGATAATGTGGCTCTGTGTCTGTAAGTTTCTCCCTTCGTAATGTTTTAACTTGTTCTTATAGTTTTCTTCTTTATCGGGTGTTTAAGAAATCCACTTTCAAAGAAGATGGACGAGATACATTTTTATTGTTTGTTCTTCATTTATTTTAGAATCTTTCCTATTACGAATCTTGTTTATTCTGGGGATTAGGCAGTTTTGTAACGTTTGTTTGTCTGTACATCTTTGCAATGAAATCCTATTTTTTTACGTGAATATACATGTACAATACAGTTCTTTCTTTACCTCTGAAAAGGACAAATACGCTAGGGTTTCAACAGATATTTTGAATGTCATGTACAGTACGTAATAATGATATTTTAGAGTTCAAAGCTAATTTCTCTTTGATAAAATAACATTTCTCCCTTGTCAAGTAATCGAAGGTTAGTTACTTCAACATTGTTGATTCGAAGTCACGACATTTGTATTAACTAACAAATAAAGTCTGAATAACATCAAGTCTTCGAGATCACAAGATATGATACATGAGGTAAATTAAAGAATACAATCGAAACCTTAACATTGGTAAACAGTAGGGCAAACATGTTTTTCAATAAAATACAAACTGTTGATACATTAATCACAATTCAGGACATATGATTTATAGATTGAGGATTTTTTATCGTGACATTGATTAAAACAGTTTCAGTTGAAAGGATGACCTTTCACAATTCACAATTAGAAGGCTTTCTACATATTCTAGGTCTGTATACCCATGAAGTTTTGATGGTTGTTAAATGATATATTATGACTAGTGATTATTTCATGTGATCGAATTTCTTGTGGCAGGGATTGACCAGTTTCGTTCCAAACCTCTATACTAATATATTAGCTATCATATCCACCAACCTTTAATCCGTGTGATTGGTACATCAACATTTCAGCTATCATATCCGCCAGCCTTTAACAAGTGTGATTGGTATATTAACATTTAAGTTATACATATCCACCAACCTTTAATTTGTATGACTGCTATATCATAAAGTGGCGGCTTTTATGTCTTCTGCTAGGTTTTCTATTTCGAGCTCATAGAAACAGGCTCACCTTGAATGTTGACATCTGTTTGGCTGTTCTTTGAATAGCTATGTTGTTTAAACAAGTTTATGTTGAGCTGATTTTAACTGTAGAGAAATAAGTTGTCCACATTGTAGTAGATGGAGTTTCTGTTGGTTGAAGTGTTGTGTTATTGCTAGATGGTAATTGTGTGTTAATTTTGTGTTTTGAATGTGCATTATGTTGTGGTATAGTATTAAGTTGTTTTTTGTTATACTTTAGTTTTCATTTCCTTTTTCGTGTGGTCGTGGACAACTGCCAATGTTGTGGTTGCTATCACAGCCACACATCTCGGGTGAGATTTGCACGCTGCAGCTACAAGGCCAAAATCATTGTGTTACTAATATGGTTGGTACGTTTATGTCTTCTAAATTGTATTTTCTAAAGCATAATATAGTTCCACTGAATATGAATTTATTAATTTCATCTATATTTTCGGTTGTTACTTTTTATTAAGTTTGTGTGAGTATTTCTTTTCTAAAACCTTATTCTACCAACTAATGTGTATGTTATATTTATTTTTGATAGGGCGTCCATCATGTCCTGGTAGCCTATGCAGAAGTGAAACTGTCTAATGATAAGAGCTGTAGTTTGTTGTTTTGTACCACGTAGGTGGATTTTGATTTTAGCTGGTTGAAAGGCGTTTTCTTGCTAATCATGGAAAAGTTTATGAAAGTCGTGTGTTTCCGCGCTCTTTACCAGAAGGACACTTCTAGGTTGCTGTTTAATATTTACAATACATACATGAAGCTTACATCGTGTGGTTTGTTACACCTAGTTCAAAGTCATTAAAATCACCGAGTCCTTCAATTATTACAGCGTTTCTGGGCGGAGTTGTGTTATTGTTCGAATTTATGTTTGTGATAGTATTTATTCGTTGCTTCGTAGAAGTTTTTGATTTCATGTGTTATTGTATGCTAGCGTATATTTTTTTTAATTTCCTGAAATCTGTGATGTTTTCCTTTTTCCTTGTTCACTCTAGCAAGGTTACAAACAGCTACTCTTTTATCCTGGTTTATATTCTGTTCTGATTTGTAAATTTAATACTAATAGCAGTTTTAGAAAATGTTATTCTTATCTTTTACTTGGTTGCTTAAAGCACCTCTGGCTAAAACTTTATTATCAGAACCATTTTCAGAGCTTAACGATGAAAATGAATGACTACTTTTCGAAGTTAAACTGTTAGCTTCAGCTCTGCTTTTTCACTTAGCTATTTCGTGTTTGCCCCTATTTTAAATTGATATCAAGTATTACTATTGATAATAAAGCTAGCCATACTATGCTTATGATTCAACTCTGATGGAGTGACGTTTCCTGCAAGAGAACCTTTTTTCATGGTTTTGAATTAGTTAATAAAAATGTAGCTAATGAACACTTTTACGCGGTATACGTTCACACTCTTTAAGACACATGTAGAAAAGTGTAGGTAGATCAGAAAGTAAAAATTGTTTAAAAGATAACGCTTTAAAATAATTTGAATAGAGTTGTTATTATAGAGGCCGGTGAAAGTGTTTTTACAATATGTAAAAGTAGAAAGAGTACTGTCTGCTTTATGAATCTTTATATCTTAAAATGGTAGCGATTCGACTTTTTTAAATTCAAAAGTGAACTTAAAATAAGGGTGCTAAGAACTTAAATGTACTAGAAATTTTGAAACTTGGTTAGCAGAATGAAAATATTAAAACACTTTCGCCGGCATGTATAGTAACTATGACAGCTTTAAATTCGATGAGACTACTTTGAGACTAGTAATGGTTGGAGACGGCATGAATGGGTAATGAAGAAAAACTTTAATATAAGTTTAACATAACAGCAAA